AGGAGCTCCGCGCGGGCCCGGCAGCCGCCGATCGTGCCCGTGGGCCCAGCCTGCCAACCTGCGGCGCTTCGCCCGCGCGCCTGGCGTGGTGGCTCCTCGTCCGGCCGGCCGCGGCGCCCCAGGGAGGCGTGCGCCAAGCTTTGCGTGGGCCAGGCCGCGGGGTCATGTCTCCCTTGCCCTGGCCTTGGCGTGGAGCGAGAAGGCATCCCGCACCCACGTCCTTCCACGGAGTCCACCCACTCCCCGAGAATCTGTACCACTCCAAGCGACACCAAAACCCCAGGGACCCCGAGCCAAGGTACACTGGCAGCCCAAGACATGGCCAGCAGCCAAGTGGCCCTGCAGGGGCCCTGTGCACGGGGACATTTTGGGCCGAGAGCGAGCAACTGGGAGCGGCCGGAGGGCCAATCTCTTGCCGGGTTGGCACACTCCGTACTCCTCCCCACCACCTTGGTAAACCTGCCTTGTGGCGTTGGACACGCAGGTGAAGGACTTGGGGTGTCGAAAAGCCGGGCTGACCCCTTCCTCCCGCTCCCTGGACGCTCATTCAGACACCGCCCACACGCCGGGCGGTGGTCCACATCAGTCCCTGGGCGCGCTGACTCCCCCCACCACTCGCGCCCTGCTCCTATTACAGCAGTAAACACTGGGCAGCGGCCCCCAGCGAGGGAGGGGTTGTTTGGAAGTGGTTTAAAAACACTGTCAGGGTGGATGCCCAGTAGCTGGGGCGGCTGCCACGACGGGCCACTACATGTGGGGACGCCCTGCGCAGTCAGGCCTGAGTTTGGCTGCGGGTCAAACTCAGGGCCTGGGGAGAAGAAACCGCCAGACTCTAGGGTTTAAACCATCTAGAAGGTAAATATAACTTCTCCGGGAGCGGAAAGTGTTCCGGGGGCAGTGGGCCGGCCACGAAGCAGCTGCCTGCTCGGTGGCGCTCGGCCCTGCGGCTCCCTCTGTATCCCGCTGTATCGCTGGCCGCTGGGGACCTTCCCGGCCCCACCGCCCAAAGCTGACGCTCTCGAGGTAACTAGAGAGGGAACTGCAGGCCGAAGGCAGCGGAGGTGTGAAGGGAAGTGCCTGAGGCCACTCACTGCCTTTATTCACACATCTCTAGGAGTGGAGATAAAATTAAAGTCAGGAAAAATAACATACACTTCAATATTTTTATGTTAAAATGAAATCAACAAAAACGCGGGAATAATCTAGCTCACTATTTCTGGCCGAACCCGGGCTCTCTCGCCGGCTCTAAAAGCCTCTCCCAGTGTTAAGGGGGGTCCTCAGTCCAGGTTGGAGCTGGCAGCATCTTCTTTCACAGGAGGCCCTCGGCCCTCCTCTGTCGCCCCCTCCCCGGGCTCCAATGGGGGCGGGGGTAAGAAAGAGGGAGACTGTGGCACCTCGTCTGAAAGCTGGAAATCCTCGCCTACCCAGTCTTGTTTAGAAGGGGCATAGGCAGTTTTCAAACTGGCCCCCTAGACTAATAAGGAGGCAGGGAGGAGAGAGGGAGGGAGGCAGAGAGAGAGAGAGAGAGAGAGAGAGAGAGAGAGAGAGAGAATATCTCCTGACAGGAAGACTGCCCTGCTACCTTAAATCCATTAAAAAACTACCCAGCTAGGTCTCACACTTGCTTATTTTAGTCACTAATTTATATTGGGAAAAGGGTGAAGGAGTGCACTTGGAAGGCATATGCCAAAAATATTTCAAAGATTATTTTCCTAGACATTGGTTGTGAGAATAGCAACCCTACAACCCGAAGACCTTACTTCTCTTCCTTCTTTTAAGTCATCAGACTTCCAAATTTTCTTCCTTTCCCATTTTCTCACCCCCTCACCACTCTTCCCTCCCTCTCCTCTTTGACCCATTCTCTCCTTTCGCTTTGATTCCTCCTTTGCTGCGCCCGCATTTCGGGGCGGCGCGGCTGGGCGCTTGCTCGCGCTGGATTCCGGGGGCCGCGCGCTGCCAGGCGCTGGGGCAGACGCCTTAATTCCCGCCGGAGACCCCGCGGGCTGGGCCCTCCTGGCTATTCTTTCCCGGCTCCAGTTCTCCTCTCTCTGCAGGACACAGAGAAGCTGAGCCAAGTTCAAAGTCACGTCTCCGTCCCCTCTCAGAAGTGCTTTCTTTCTCTGCAAACCGCAAAACCTCTTTCCTTCACGACAGTATTTAAAGGAAGGAGAGAGAGAAGCAGAAAGCAAGGGGGGGGGGTAAAGCTGCAAAGGCTTTCAGAGTTATTGCCTCAAAAGTAAACGGTTCCTTGACCAAAGAAAACCGGCCAAGCCGCGTTAGCCATCATATAAGTGAATTTTTCTTTTTCAACAGGTTTCTGGAAGGGCCCTTTCGCAACGACCTCCGTCTCGCGGGACCCACAACTATCTCCAACAGGCAAACATGTTCCCTCTTGTAAGTTTCCCAAAAATGTTCTTTTAAAATCGAATGGTGACTGCACCCAGAAAACCCCGGAGCCTATGGCTGGTGAAGATCCCGGCTCCTGGGCGCACGGGCCGGCATTCGCGAGTGCAGGCAGTCCCAGCACGGGTGAGAATCTGTGGTGCATTAAAAAAAAAAAAAAAAAAAAAAAATCCCACCTAACTCCCGAACGCTCATCGGCTGACCACCTCGTTTTTGCTGTGTGGGCCTCTGTGAACCGTGTTGATTGAGTTCTTTGGTAGTAGGATGTACATTTTGTGTACATATGCATAAATACAGTGCATATACATTCACCAACTCGCTCTCTCTCTCTCTGGTACATTGCTGGACAGATTTGTTACACTGTTAAATTCCAAAGCAGGACTATCTTGGCACCACATCTTTCAAACTTTTAATTTTTTTTTTTCTTAAGGGAAGGGGTGGAAGTGGGGGAGGAGTTGGAAGAAGAAATGAGAGAAACAAGTGCAGAATACACGGTATAGCTCAGATAAAAGTGAGGATTTTGCAGGATTCTAGCACCATCATTTACATCTCAGGCTCATAAATTCAGCAAGATAATCAACAGGATATTAAGTTGCAGGTCACCTTTGATTCAATGGTCTCAGCTACTCCTGGGCTAGGTGACCCCTGACCCATGAAAGACCACATATGTAGTGGGAGACCCCCCTTCTGCAAAACCCACCTAGAACAAAAGTTCTTTGTCAGGACTTTAGAATAGTGTCATGTAAGAGAGGAAACTGTGAAAATCTCAGCTAATGTTGTAACTTTTAAATACCATTTTTAAGAAGAGGAGTGAGAATGGAGATCACAAGATAAGGCCCTCTCCAGTCTGCTAAGAGAACTTCTTCCTACAGTTAAAATGTACTATTCTGTCACTGGACTTTTTTTTTTTTTTTTAAATCTTCATATAAAATATGTGCTCTCCAACTGTTAGCGATAGGGATGCAAATATGTGTGTATTTGCCAAAAAGGACTCTGGAAAAGAATTGAAGTCATCAGCTACCTCTGCTTTTGCCTCTGCATTGGTTACAGTGGTTGTGGTTTTGCAAAAGGAAGAGAATTAATTTTCCTTACTTATCTCCTTGTTGCCGATGGGAGTCTTTCCTCTGCTGCAAAACAAAACAAAAATAAACAAACAGAAAATCAGGCGGCATTAGCTTACATGAATGTGTTTAATTATTCTGAGGACCGTTATCCTTTGGGCTCCCAGGCGAACTACATCCAGGGAGGTTGAATACCGATGACAGGCGAGCAGCTTTCCAATAAACTGCAGTATTATTGCAAAAGACTTTGTAATACAATTTATGCTGTCATTCATAAATAACAATGCCATATGTCAACCATATTGCTTACACAAGTAAATCCGTCAACGTGTCACTATTTGATTTATCCTAACAGCTTCTTCAAATATTGAAGTATAGATACTGAAAGAGATGTTGAGTAGGGGGACTCCTCCCCCCAAATTTGGGATTTTAAAAAACTGCATACCTTGGTTGTTCCTCCTTTATCTCTTATTTTAAGATACCCTAAAGGATAAGTCATGTAGGGAGAATAACTTCTTGAGGTCAATAAAAATAAATATAAGGTGGTTATATGAACCTTAGACTTAAAGGAATCTTATGGTTATTGTTTTGAGCTTTTGAGCATATTTTAGAGCACAGTGACGTGTTTCTCACGAAATTATCAATCCTGATGGTCAAATGCAGGTCAAAGGCCTTTCTCCAACAGCTTCCATCTCTCAGAGTAAAAGTGATTGATAACCAAATGGGAGTATGATAACAGGCCAATTTTATACAACATACTCTTTAGTAGTGGGGAAGTAGAGAGGGTAACAATTTTTCAACAGCTTTTAACCATAAAGGGTCAAGTAGACATGGGGCGGGGTCCAATTCTAGACTACCCAAACAACAGCAACATAAAAATCCACTGGAATCCAACATCTCAGTCCTGACTTCCGCCTTCTTATCTTCATTATGTTCTGCACGTGTCACACAGATCATAAACTTTAGGAAGAAGTACATTTTTGGATACACTTAGCCGGTCCCTAAACATACCCTGAAGACTCAGCAGGACCTCAGAGGGGTGAGAAAGAGAGGCAATGCTTGGAGAAGCACTCAGAGATCTGTAAATCGCAGGCGATTCAGGAGTGATAAAGCCCCTGGGCCTAGATGCAGCTCCTACTGCAAGGCAGATCTCCAGCGTCCAGGGTGGAAGGGTGGGAAGTTGCTGCCCAATTTGAATAGGGTGGGCCAGGCTGGGAGAGGTGGTTCCAGAGGACCCTGCACCCTAGACTCCTGGTGAATCTGATTTGGGAAAAGCCTTGAACCTGAAATCCCCATTACTTCTGGACCTGACAGATTTCCACTGAAATGCTGCTTTGCTCACCCCTTTGCCCAGCCAGCCCCAATTTACAGAGCTATCTGAGTGGACCACCATCACCTTCCCAGTGTCTGCCAGCAGTCTGCCTCTCAGGCCCTAAGCATCCATTGGCTCCATTCGGTTGGGCTTCACAGGTCCTCGGGCTCATGGGGTAGCTCTAGGTGTCCTGCTCACCCTTGAACCCACTTCCGCCCAGCCGAAATTACCCCTACTGTCTCAAACCTGCCAAGGACCCAGCCTTTCTGCGAGGAGGCTGCTCTCTCAGAAATCACGCAGGACCCGTGAGTTGTAAAGCAATTGCAGGGGCAATAAAAGGCGGCTAGGTGGGTCCCCCATCTCTTTTCTTGTCCACCCCACAGTCCCCAAATGCCCCTCTCCCCCTGCCTGCAGAAACAATCAAACAAAGGCTCAAAAGCCAGGAAATGTCCAATTCACTTCCCTTAGAGTTTATTAATTGCCTACACTCATCGCAGGAAACTTGGCTGTGTTCAGGGAGGAACCCAGCGCACCACGGAGCCAGGGAGCTGCCCTCTTCCCTTTACACAGCTGGAAGCCAAGCGCCCAAGGAGCCCCAGAGACCAGTCCGGTGGCCTCCAGGCAACTGAGCTGTAGTGAGGCAGCCGAGTATCAGCCAGCTGGACATTTACTGTGCCTCTCACCTCCTCAGCCTCTCTTTGTTTAGGACTGGAAGGAGACTGGGGTTCCGGGTGCAACCCAGAGGTCTAGAAATCAACAGCTCCAAAAGCCTGCATCCACTCTGAAAAGGGCATGTCTGTGGCTTGTCACCTCGCTGCCTCGGTACAGCACCTTTGCTGCAAAAAGCGCAGACAAGGGTATGAGCCTGGGGCATTGCCCTGAGGAACAGCATCACCATCGAAATTTGGGGTTAAATCAACAGAAAGAGAACTGGCATTTGGATGTTTATAGCCCCCTGCTCTTTAAACGAATACATTATTTTCTTCAACGCCCTGGAAATTGTTGGTGTTTATTTAGGAAGTGTGACACAGTTATTGGGCCTTTAGAAACTCAGCATTTAAGGGGGTTTGATTTGGTTCCCAAAAAGCTTGAAAAAGAAACAGCGCACCTGGGGTCAGGCAGGTCATCACAATAACAAAAAGTGCGTCTACAAAATAAAAAGCTCTTTTATAAAGAAAGGCAATCCCGGAAATCCACTCAGAGCCTTCCTGATGACCATCTAGCTAGGCCTATTCTCAGGTTTAATTGGCAGGAGGTTTATTGGCGCCTTATTGGTGTTGATTGAAATTTTGCTTCCAGTCCTTTCTTTTAAGAATTAGCATCTCAAGTCGATTTACCTGAGTCAATTATCTTTTTTAGGGTCTGAGTGTGGTCATAAATCTGCAAATATTCATTAAACTCACTTTGTAAATATCCCTCTTCCCAGTTACTACCCAAATCTCTGTTATTTCCTTTAAAAGTATTTTCTTTTTTAAGGCTTCCATAAAAAGAAATTGATCAGGGAGCTATATTTGAATTAAGACATATTAAATCGATGGCAGATACATATCATGCTGTGTTTAACAAGAGTTGTACAAGGAGGCGGGTTCCAGATTCCGCACGGCTGTGCTGCAGCATTATTCACATTTTTACAGCCTTTCCTTCATGCCTCCACCCATTAAACCATTAAATTTCAGCAATTCAATAAAACAAAGCAGTTATAATTTTGACGAAAAGCTATTTTGAAGGGGGTGGAGGTACCCATTTTATTGCACAATAAAAATGCTCAACAGTCCATATTATAGCCTAGGTTGTATTTATTTTCTTTTTTATTCATTCCTTTTTTTGTTTTGTTGTTTTGTTTTTACTTACAACCTGCAGGATTGAACTCAAAGCTGCCATTACTACAAGTATAGATGCTCATTGCCAAGAAATTCAAATAAAGGCCACACATTTGAAATGTTTTGAGAGGAAATGAAGACAGTGGTGATAATTCCCAGTAAGATGCTTTCTTTATAAAGCATGGTGTGGTTCTCCACCGACCTTTTTGTGGTTGGCTTGAGATGTTTTAAGTCTTTGGTTCAAAATTATGAAAGAGCTCGTCCTTTTCAAATACAGATGTGGATTTTATCACTGTTCCTTATTAAATTTTTTGATGGGTTTGCACTCGTGCCTTTATTATTTCCTTATATCTGAACTTCCTGTAAGCTTAAAGGAAAAAAAAAGCCATCTGAAATTTGATAGTATTATTGTCTTTGTTTGCTTGTCCGTTTTGTAAGAGAAATGACATTACCAATGCTCATAGAGAAGCAAGCTCTCCCTTAAGCAGCAATGTCAATGGCAATATTGAACCCACTCTTTTGGAATATCTCTCACTTCTTCCCAAGGCCACTGAGAAGAAGGATGGCTTTGCATGGTCTCTTTTTGCCTGCAGCACAAGCAAAGGAATAGAGCTGGTAACCTGTTTCATTGTATCCCCAAGTGTGTGTGTGTGGGGGGGTTACATTCTAACCAGTATTACTTTTTTTACAAGTAATTTTATGGAGGAAAACATCGGACTTTAATTTTTGACCATTCTGGAATATCACAAATTTTACAAATGTTTTCTTTTTAAATTCTGAACAATAACATTTTGGTAAAACTTCTGTTGGGGGGGGTGTCTCATTTCTCTCCCCCTCAAAGTGATGCAGAGGTTCATTTCTATTTTTCAAAACCTGATTTGCTGGAAAGGGATGGAGTTCCTTGTTTTGAAGCCAGTTTTTATGGCTTTCAAATAAGACATCTCAGTTAGCTAGAAAATGCTAAGGTCAAAGCCTATCCTATTAGTAAAACAGCGAGGTTATTTCTTGCTTTAAAACAAATATTTTACTGGATCTATTCTAACTCGGATTCCTCTCACAGAAACTGAGGTGCACACGTGGAGTGCGTCGAAGGATAAATTCTGCTGCCAAGCCACTGCTAATCTAGCGGCTTCCCTCTGGGGAGACGCCGTTTGGTCTGCCTGGCCACTGTACCTCCGAAACACAAAAGTTAGCGTCGCCGCCCGATATTCCCGCTGCCCCGCCCCTCCCGTAGATCTAATTGAAAGTGGCAACTCTAGAACGGATGAGCTGTGAGATTATACTTCTAGGCAACTCCTTTGAATCATGTTGAAAGGAACTTCATGAGCTAAAAAGTCGAAGAAAATGTTTCCTCAGGGAAAAGATTTATTTTGACTTCACCTATTTTCGCGGAGCCAAATCACACAAGTTGTTTTGCTACCAATAGACTTTAATAAATCTTCATTCCGTTTCCTGTCTGCGCGCTACGTGGGCGGTGGGCAGACTGGAAGGCCAAATAAAAACTTTCTGGCACCACCAGCACAGGTATGACGACTGGATGTTCACTCTCCTTCCCAGAGAGCAGCCCAGGGATCTTCCAAGAGAGGAGGATGCTTGGTTGCTGAGAAGGACGCTGTGAGCAGTGAGGCGGTAGTTTTTGAAGTTGCGGGTTCTCTCTCCGCCTTTCGCTCCTTGGGGGTCCCCATGCTCCCAGCCTCCGGGTGTAGTCAGAGCGCTTGAGCGCGCACTCCGAAGTGCGTCAACAGAGCGCAAGGTACTGCGCGCGTAGGTCAAGCGCAAACTTTCTGCAAGTGCAACTGGGGCATCCCCGGGGAGGCGGGGACGCAGGGCTCCGAGGAGGAGGGGGGCACAAAGTGAAAGCGCAAGCGGTCGCGAGCACGGAGGCGGTTCCCTGCTGGGCCAAGGCCCTGAACGGGAGCCAATCGGACAGCCGAGGCTGCTGCCAATCACGCGGCCCCCTCCAATCCCACACGTACCATTTCCAAAATCTAGGTCCCACTGTGCAGCTCAAATGTGGCGTTCACTCTGCCAATCGCCGGAGGACAGAGTGGGAATAGGAATAAGCAGAGTTGGGAGACTAGGACAAAAGAAGTTAAAGAGCGCCTAGTATATACATGTTTTTGAAGGCGAGCAGAGGGAAAAAAATCCCCCCAGTGAGGGTCTATGGGCCTGATTGTGTAGCTCTGATGGAGCCCCCTTTGAGCAAGAGGAACCCGCCAACGCTGAGATTAGCGGATTTGGCAACGGCTCAGGCCCAGCCGCTCCAGAACATGACAGGCTTCTCGATGCTGGCTTGCCCGCCCGCCCATTCCCAACTCCGCGCCGTCGCCGCGCATCTCCTCCACTCGCGGGACCCGGGCGCTGACCCCGGCGTGGCCGTCCCTGTGCTCGGACCCAAGCACATGGCCCAGGCCAGCGCGCCGGGCCACAGCCCTCCCGCCCGGGC